GCGCCGGGGGGCGGCGGCTTCCTGTGGGAGGGGCCTGGCGCGGCGGTTCCGGCCTCCGAGGAGGGGTGTCCCGGCTCCCGCCCGAGCAGGGTGGGCGCGGGGGCTGCTGCGAAGTGGGCGCGAAGGCAGCCGGGGGTGAGGCGGCCATCGAGCCCTTCCGGAAGGGGAACGCATCCTAGGTGCCAGGGATGAAGAGGAGTGACCTTTGTGGAGGGATCGAAACTGGAGGAAGGGGCGACTTGGGACTGAGCTGGAATGGGTCGCCTGAGGATGGGCGAATGACATGGAGGGAAAGAAGGAGAAATCAGGAAGATGCTGCCTGAACCGCACCTGAAACTCTCCTTCCTTCCTGTTTGGAAATGATTGGTACCCGAGACTTTGATTTCGGTCCCATTCAGTTTTTAAACTTCAGGAGAGATCACAGAATCTTGATCCTCTTGCTTTCGTCACACCCACTTAGTCCTGCTTGGGTAGGGTTTCCACTTCGGGGGAACCTAGCTCTTCAGATCATCTTTCTTTGAGATTTTCTCAGATCAAATCAACTTCTAGGCTTAAAAAAAGTATGTGGGCACCGTGGCCATAAAAAGGCTTTTAGCCTGTTGGGCAGACCTAATGCCAGCATTACCTCAACAACAGAGCGACTGCTGTAACCTTGGACTACCTACACTGCTTTATTACTTTTCCTCTTTCATCACTTTGAATTATTCAGTTTCCTTTACCATGTGACTGCTTATCTTGACAAACTGTAACCAGGTAGCATGACTGATAGGTCTGTGTTGTGTTCTTTAGAACTCTGACCTGGATCATGATTATGAGATTAAATGCCTGTGTTAAAGCTGTTCATCCTCTTTTTCTTCGTGTTCACTGACATTTGCAGAAGTGGAATGAATTTCATGGTTGTGGTATACCTGGAGTGAATGTTCAAATTGGACATTCACAGGAGCCAGAATTGTTTTCGGTTACAAATAGGAAAAAAAAAAGTACTTTGCTAATGTGTTATGAGTTCAGGTTTTTGGAGTATTTGACAAACACTTAAGAATTGGTTTTTGTGGCAGCCCTGTGCATTAGGTTGGGTGAGCATTATTCCCATTTCACAATGGACAAACGGACCTAAGAGATGACTTGAGAGTGTTTTGACGGTGTTTTGCTCTTTCTTGCCTACTGGTCTTTTCCTTCCTGCTAGACTGCAAATTCCTCATGGGCGGTTGGGGGGGGGGGGCGGCCACATCTTATTTGGCTTATTTGGCTACTAGCCTGGCATGCTGTGGGTGCTTGGTAAGTGCTGAGTAAGAATTTCCAAGAGTTGTAGACCTGTAAGTGGAGGACAAGAGATTTGAACCTGAGTCCTAGCTCTTCTCTTGTCAGACAACCTTGCCATTTTCTCTTATTGGTCCATATGAAAATGACAGACATGAAAAAAAGGCTTGAGTTGGCTTCTCAGTCTTTTTAATTTAACGACTACTTTTCCATTTACCAAGAGCTTATGACAACATCTCATGTGCTCTTCACCACGATCCTGTGAAGGCTGGAGTTGTCCCTATTCTGCAGATGAAGAAACTGAGGCTTAGTGAAGACTTTGCTTTAGAATCTAGAAGTAGGGAGTGAGCAGGGACTCATGCCGAGGCCTTTTACCCTTAGACCCATTATTTTCCATTTATATAGAAGCAATATGAAGTTTTATTTTAAATTTTTTCAAGTATACAAAGTATGACATTTTCAGGGAAAAATAGTACAGATTACAGCAAAAATTGTGAATATAGAGTATACTTGAAATTTAGAAAACCCTGTGCAATGCCATAGCTGCCCCTTGCTCAGAAAACATTTTTTCATTCAATGAATATTTATAAGTGCCTGCTTTGTGCCAGGCATTGTTCTGGAGTTGCATTGTCCAGCGTGGTGGTCACTAGCTACATGGGGCTGTTGAGCACTAGAGATAGGCTATGAGTATAAAATACACACCAGCTTTCTGAAGACTTAGTATGAAAAAAAAAGGTAAAATATCTCATTGATTCTTTTAATAATAAATGATAGTATAAATATATGCTGTAAATGATAACATTTAAGTTTATTGAATTAGATACAATAGAGTTGAAATTTCCTGTTTCTTTTTAAATGTTTTAAAAATGTTTCCTAGAAAATTAAAAATTATATGGGACAGTACTGTCCTAAACACCAAGGAATGTAGTACATAAGGAAGGCAAAAAGTCCTGTGCTTGTGGATCTTAAATTTTAGTGGGGAAAGGCACAATAAACAAAACAACCAGGTAGACTGCACATTATGGTGGGAGGCAGGATGTGGAGTGTCAATGGGGGATTGTAGTTTTGTATAGGGTCCTTAGAAAGTCTTTCTGAGAAGTTGGTGGTTGAGTGAAGATCTGAAGGTGAGAGAAGGAGCTGTGTGGCTAAATGGGGACACAGCGGTCCAGGCAGAGGGAATGGTACATTCAGCAGGTTGGTGGATCAGCCTGGAGGCCAGTGTGGCTGGAGGGGCGTGAGTAAGAGGGAATGGAGAGGATGAGGTAAGAGAGGTGTTGGGGGTAAGGGGAGAGACTGTGGGCCATTGTGAGAATGTTGATTTTCACTTAGTGAGCTGAGGCCACTAGAGGGTTTTGAGAAGTGGAATCAACATGATTCATCCTGCCTTCTTTTTTTGGGGGGGGTAATTAGGTTTATTTATGTATTGAAAAAATTTTTTTAATGGAGGCACTGGAGATTGAACCCAGGACCTCCTATCGTGCATGCTAAGCATGTGCTTTACGACTGAGCTCTACCCTCCCTCTTCATCCTGCCTTTTAACAAGCTCATTCCGGTTGTGGAGAAAGAGTGAAGAGGATAACGGTAGAAGCAGGGAGACAAGTTCAGAGGCTGTTGCCAGGATCCAGGTGAAGGATGGGTCGGGTGCTGGTGATGGAGATGGTGAGGAGCCGTTGGGCCCTGGGTATATATTGAAGTATACAGCCAGCCGGGTGTGTGGAGGTGGGATGTGAGTGGAAGAAAGGAGGCACCGACGACTCCACCAACTTTGGCGTGAACAGCAAGGAATGGAGTTGTCATTCACTGCAGTGGGAAGACTGCAAGAGAGCAGGGCTGGGGCTCAGTTTTGTTCACATTGATTGTAAAATGCCTCGCAGAAATCCAGGTGAAGGTGTCGTGGGCACTTCGAAGGAAGTGTGGAGCCGGGCCTGGGCTGGGGGTGTCCATGTGGAAGCGATTAGCATGAGGATGGTATTTAGAGTTAAGAGACCAGGCAAGGTCACTTAGGGCATAATGGGGATATGTATCCAAGAGGCTTGCTTCTTGCTAGAAGGTAAATTTTGAAACAGAAATCTCAGTTTATCCTATTACATCAGTAATTTTTAAGTATAGCAAAGCATTGTAGTCTGTCTCAGGGAACTTGGTTTTCTCTCCTTTTCACTTTTCATTTAATGACCCTTTTGAAAACCACAGGCTAATGGGTTTCTTTTTTCCTGAGGAGGCTACTCTTCTAAGCATGCATCTTTGTAGGGCCGCTGAAATCAATCTGAGTCCCAGTTTCTGGAATTAGTCGGGCTTTCTGGGTTGTCAGCCAATTTAGACATCTCGTAGAAGGATGGAGCCTGGAATGATGGTTAATGGGGTCTTTTTTTTTGGCATGCCTTTTTTTAATTGAAGTATAGTTGATTTGTAGTGTTTCAGGTACCTAATAAAGTGATTCATATATATATACTTCTTCAGGTTCTTTTCCATCATAGGTTATTACAAGGTATTGAATATAGTTCCTTGTGGGTAATGGGTTTTTAATGTTTAAAATATTGGTTCTACCTGACATGTACTGAATGCAGGTTGTTGTCAGGCATCCCGCTGTTTTATAGATTTAAAACAAACAGAACCTCACTGAGGTGAAGTGACCCTCATGAGGTCATGTAGCTAAGACATGGAGGAGCTGGGATTTGAATCGGTCCTCTGAGTCCAGATCTGATGCTTCTTTCTGGAAGATGTGCAGTAGTAGGTGCATAAGCATCAACTTCCACTGGAATCAAATCAGTGAGCTGCTTTTGCATGACTTTAAGTCGCTTCAGATTATCAAAGACTCCAGGATTTCTGAGAGGTAGGGACAAAAGGGAAGATCTTGTTTCCCTTAAAAAGAACCAGCTGACTCTTTTTTGGAAGGTTGCAGTCCCCTGCTCCTGCCTCTCCCCTGCAGCTTGAAAATGGTCGTTCAGTGATGTAAGTCAGGTTGTTAGTAACTACTGTTAGGAAACTACTGAATACCAAGACTTGGTAGCCCCTGACCTAGGGTAGGTCCTCTTCCTCTTTGTTACCCATGCCTTTTGTTTCCTGTTTTGTCATTGGAACTGTTTTCCAGTTTCTTTTATTACTGGCTTATAATTCCACTGTGCTTCCAACGATACAATCTCCCTTGTCCCCCCCCTCTTTTTATGTGCTTGGTTTTCGTACGGATGTCCTTTGGCCAAGTTCAACTCCATTTGATTGTTTTTCAATATGGGCCTTGGGAGAATGGATGGTAATTCTATGCAGGACAGAGGAAGGAGGCCAAGAAAGAAACATTAGTGTTGGAAAGAACCGGAAGACCGTGAGCGTGTGAAGGAAAGGAGGAATCTTTTGAGCAGACCTTTCTCATCTACATCTTTGAGAAGTGAATGCAGCGTGGATCTATACTTATAAATTAGAAGCTCTGTCTATTTCTACAGCAGGCTAATTAGAAGGAAAAGTTTGGTGCTGGTGAGTAGGTTTTACTCTTCCGAGGCTCATCTGCCACACAGGTCCACAGGTCTCAAGATCAGTGTTCAGTGGCTTCTTGACTTGAAGTTGGGTCAAGAATGTCAGGCATCTCAGAGCCTAAAATTTCAGCATCAAGAAGAACAAGTTTAGCTTGTAGTTAATACTTAAAGAGCATGTAGCATGTGCCAGCTGCTTTACCTGAACTCATCTGTTCCCCGCAGTAATCTTATAAGGTGGGTGCTGTTATTAGGTTCATGTCACAGATGAGGAAACTGAAATTTAGAGAGGATAAGTAATTTGTTCAATGCCACTCATTGCTCGTGAGTGGTCAAGCTTATTTGTCTCCAAAAGATTGACTGGTTTGAAAGGTTCTTGCTGAAGTCAGGTGATACAGATAATCAGCTACTTCAGGTGTTGCAAGAGCTGTCACTTGTGAAGTCAGACATGTGATTGCTTTCTCCCACAAAAAGCTCTTCAAGGATTTATTTAATGGGGGTCTCTTAGAGCAAGGTACCTGAGCTCCTAGAGGGTCGGGGCCCGATGGCATTCTCCTCTGTATTTCCAGGGCCCAGCCCAGACTGGGTTCTATGAGCAGCTGTTGAAAGACTGACCCTGGCTCAGGACTGGACAGGGTGAATCAACAGGGTCTGAAAGAGGTCCAGTCAGAAGGTTGCTTGCCTTCCTGCTAAAGGTGCCATTGACTGTTATAGTTCCCTGGCTTCAAGAATCAACCTGTCCTAATAACAGA